GGGGGGTACTGTACTACCCACGGATGGACAGAGCATTTCTTGCTTGTTAGTTATTATCATCTAGGGAGCAATTGATTGAATTTTTTAATATTGTTTTTATTTTGGACACAGGGTCATTGTGCTTATTAAACCTACCATACACACGATGTGTAATTCTTGGATGTCAAGTTATATTTATAGGCAGCCTCTCTCTCCCTCTCCCTCCCTCTCTCACTTCGATGTGTTTTAGTTTCTCTGTTATGTTTGGTAGATGATAAAAAAATTGAATATTTAACCTTATAGCTTGTGTGGAGAAGAATTTCCACAGCTTTGTTTCTCCGGGCCATATTTCTTTTAGAAGATTTGTCTGGTTGTTTTGATTGGTACTGAAGTGTTCTTGATATGCACATCTTTCCTTATGTCTGAACAATAATTCTAATTACGTACCATATGTAGTTTACTGGCTTTTTTCAGCATACTTCGCCTTTTAGAAGCAACTTTCTTTTTTGTTATTTCTTTGTTATTGTTGATTTAGCTATCAGCATGCTTAACCTGTACTGAGGAAACAGTGTCTGTAATGTAAGTAATTTCATTTCTCTGTACCAGAATGGTCGTCGAATAAAAAAATATCGAGGCATGGGATCTCTTGAAGCAATGACAAAAGGCAGCGACCAAAGGTACTTGGGTGATACAGCTAAGCTGAAAATTGCACAGGGGGTGGTTGGGGCAGTTGCAGACAAAGGTTCTGTTTTGAAGTTCATACCTTACACAATGCAAGCTGTGAAACAAGGTTTCCAAGATCTTGGTGCTTCTTCTCTGCAATCTGGTCACGACCTCCTAAGAACAAGCGTTTTAAGGCTAGAGGTATGGAGTCCATTTTGCATAAGTTGTTGTGTTATTCATGGCATTATTATCAAGAAAGTCATTTCAGTTCTATGCGTTAATGAGAAATGGTGGTGCAATCGATGATTCTTGCAATAACTCACTCTTCTTGTCTGTTCTGTCTATCTTTTGTATTCTAGTTCGCCACTCTCAAGTGGAACTACCAACAAAAGTGGGAAAGAAATATTAGTCTAGAATACTACTATTGGGTGTCAATCATATACAAACAATGAAATATAGAAAAGAGCTATGTGTTAAAACAGAGAGTAGGGAGTTAGATTCAGGGCCCCTTTAAAGTCCAAATTAGGGCTAATGTGGTCCCCTGAGAGGGTCAGCTGGATATGTCAAAAGTATTTGCTGCGGCTTTCATGGCCTTTAATGTGCTGAAATGGTTGATCACCTAGACATTCACAATTTTAGGCTTCAATTAGCTGGGTGTACTTTTACATCAAAGGTGTAGGTGTGACTTATCTGTCATACCAATTCTTAGTATGAACATTTGCTTATGGAACCTGGGATGTTATGGCTATCGTATTAAGAACTAATGGGGTTTTCTCAGTCAGTTGATAATGTATTTTATTGTGCAGGTAAGAACAGGAGCAGCACAAGTAGAAGGTGGAGTTCATGGGCTGGTTTCTTATGAGAAGAAATCCTTTTGATGGATATATCTCTTCATTTGCTGCTGGTGCTGCCTCTCGGAATCTCTCCATGTTTCATTCTGCAACCAAATATCACAAATTTTGGCACGAGTGACAAGGATCGATTGTCAAACTGCTACAAGTTTTGGAATAGTAGGCGGTTGAGCAGCAAAAGTTTTGGTCTTAAATAGTTCTCTGGCTTTTTGTTGGTTACCATGAGAGCTTCCATATCTACCGCATCTTGTTTGACCCTGCACTGTAAGTGGGACATATATAACTAGTTTGATGTATTAAGTTATG